GGGTTCTGTAAGCCATCTGGTTGGTTGGGTCCACTATTTGGGAAGCCTGAGGGGAAGAGACCTCTTGGGAGACCTAGACGTAGATGGGAGGATAATCTCAGGTGGGATCTATGGGAGATAGGAGTTGAAGGAGACTGGATTTTGTTGGCCCAGGACAGGGTCCGGTGGAGGGCTTTGGTTAATTCGGTGATGAACCTTCGGGTTCCGTAAGCCATCTGGTTAGTTAGGATACGTGTGTCTGTCTCACAGTGTGAGAAGAAGTTGGGAAATTCTGCAAGGTGCTTCTAAACTTTCTCATCAAGTGGTTTGGGGCAATACTCCCCAATCCCCCAGCTACTTTCTGCTGCACGTTCAAGACCCGGTCTGCCACCCTGGATGAACCTCGCACCACAAGATATGTTGCTGCATACGACGTATGATCTTTCTACACAACTGCAAGAGCGAATCCCTGAAGAAGGCTGGAGTTTCCTCCAGAATTTGATCACGCGAGGGCTCATAAAAAGTATGAGGAGTTGTGTGTAGGAACGACACTCCACTTCCAGGAATGTCAGATAAATCCCTTTCAAAATAAGCTGGGATTACTCTCAAATTTGTGACCATAAAATCCTTTGCTTTTCACAATTTTAATTACAAGTTTACAGACAAGGACAGGCATCAGACAGCCACATGTGGCGAGCAGAGAGGATGTTTACCTTATGAAATAATAATATTTAATTAAACAATTCTGCCCAAGTCGCGTTCTGTTGAGATCTTGGCTTCTCTAAGTTGTAGCACGAAAGGAATTTCATTAATACTTAATTTCGTGGTTATAACCATGGACCCACGTTTCGTCACCTCGTATTATATTTTTAGGAATGTTGTATTGATTTCTGCACGTTAAAGTATTCCAGAAACCACACAAAAGCAATTTCCTTTGTTCTTTGACTCAAATTCTATAACAGATCTTACGAGTCTGAATAAAGTTTAAATTGTTTGTGCTATGTACATTTGCTTATACCTCGAGAAGGGATATACCAATTTGACCCAAAATTGGCGTGCTTACGCCTTGAAACCAGGAAGAGGTTTCACAAATATCAAAATTAAAAAAAATATTCCTAGGTTTGAGTTCCACTCGGAGTGATTTCTGTAGTTTAGAAATTAATCAAGACAGAAGAAAGCATTTTGCACAAAATTGTTTGTTTAAACTAGGATATTACAGGAATAAAGTTATAACCCTCAAAAACGCGGCTTGCATTCGAATTCTGATTAAAATTCTTCTTTCCTTGAACATTTAAAATTACTCTTTGACGACAAATGAACTAAAGATCAGAAAACATCAATTCTAATACAATTCTTTTTCGGGGTAAACATTTCTTTCAAAACTATTTTACGAGACGAGATATCAGGTTAAACATAAGAAGTTTTAACACGATCTAAAAACTACGAACTGAAATTATTCCCAGAACAACACTAATAATATCTGAATACCCATAAGAGTTTAAACATTTCCAATAAACTATACTTCACTATAATAATAAATAAAATTTAACGCATGCCTAATCAAGCCATCTTACCCAGTTTACTAAATGCCTAAATAAAAATATCATGGCCTGTAATAATCCCGTATCCAAAAGAACTCGATGATAAAAAGAAGACACTTGCCCAAAACAAAATCACTACCAACCACAACGCCCTGAAACCTACATGCCGGAGGAAAGCAGAACTATGACCACAATACAACCCCAACGCGGAAGATAATTCCCGATCAGGAAATACCCCGACGATTAAGGGAAGTCCGTTCTCATAAATCAGTCCCATGCTCTTGAGTTTCGAGTCATCGTCACATCTGTTTTTTATGTTTTAATAACAAATGAAAACTCAGTGTTCTGCAATAAATGCCGTCATGTTGGTATTCCTAATGGCAGAAAATTAACATGGCGTGTTCTTACGCAACAAGAAATTAACACTAAATGCAATGAAAACAGATTAATTTGTCAAGAAATGTTTAGGGAGTCAAAAATCTGCATGAACACATCCACGGCACACAACAAAGGAAGTTAACCTGCTTAGACAAGGGAATGACATCTTGAAAAATGACAGGCGTACCAAACTTTGCAACTTAATTGTTGTTGCATACTTTCCCTTTTATGGCATCTTTCCTTATCAAAATAAAACGTAAGTTCAGATCGACTTTAAATCGATTGAGTACGAGATTTGAAGCAATGACTAGAGACGCTAACAACAGAAGTTGGGAGAAATTTTTTTTTACTAAAGTTGACAAGCTGATCAATCACTTACGAGCTATGCGCTGTGACACGCGACGAGATCTCGTACTTACATCACTTTGGACGTTGGGTGAAGGCAGGTTCATGAAGTGAGTTCCCGTGTCGTCACGACTACCATCCCGACTCCGAACCAAACCTGCAAACACGCATGCGCAAATTCTTAAAACAACCACACATCGAATTAGTCCGGCAATGAGCCAATCACATCACGTGAAACAAATACGGGCCGATTTAAGAAAATTACAGTGTTTTATAGTTTACTTTAGACAGGCGTTTCTTTCTTGGAACACAATTTAAACTTTATAATCTTAACAATGACCACTGAAAATGTTATGTCCCCTGTGATATGAATGATTGCTAGCATCGTATTAACAGAGCCACATTTATAATTCGGAATTACACATCTCACAGCGTAACGTAGCTCATGTTGGCTTCCAATATCCCACATTGTTGGTAATTACGTCAATATAAGGCTTAGAGAGAGACAGAGGCAGAAAGAGAGAGAGAAATAAACTCACGTCACGTTCGTCTTGAAGTTAATATGAGATGCGATACTGCCCCATACCTTACAGAATGAGTACTAATACGAAATGAAACATAACCTCACCTCCACTGACAATCTTGAGTCTGTTTTCATCGTGAATGGATGTGCTGGTTTGTTGACAACAGAAGTGGCAAGGTGGATCTCCGTCTGGATATCGTAAGTCAGACAGGTGTTCGACTCCCAGCTCTGGTTCTAATTCTGTAACAGATAAAATTAACCACTAACATAAAATTTACTATACAATTTTACAGTTATTATATACATTAATATAAGAAATTCCTTACGGAAACACCTTAAGATAATTTATTATTGTGTGCCTGTAATAAATGTAAATATTTGAAATTTTCATAATATTGAGTATGAAAATTACGTCACTGCTGGTCATTTTTCCTAGTTTAATAGTTCTAATCCCGTAAACTTTTGAGGGTGGACAGAAATCTGAGAAATTTTATTAGCGTACTGAAATTTGTTGTGGGAACCAAAAGGATCCTATAAAAATGTGTCCTTGTAAGGTAATTTTATTTTAAAATTAAGTTTCTAACACATTCATATTTATTTTGTGTTCTGTGGCATTAATTAATCACTTTGGAGAATAAATGCGGACGTCTCGTAAGAAAATTTCCCACATTTGGGTAAAAAATGTTGGCAATATTAGAGTCGCTGTGTAACAAACGCGTGTTGACTTCGTGTCGGAAGAGTTCGCCCAAATCGTCGAAATGACTTGTCATCCAGCTTGAAAAACTTCACGACAAAAGAGATTGGCTCAAACTGTGAGAAACATTTGCACTGCATTTCTGCACGTTTGATCTCTTTTATACAAACGGTAATACTAATTCACACAGTCTTCGAACGATTTCCTGGGTCACGCAATACGAGGTGCGATCGGAAAGTTTCTAGACTGCGCCTATAAAAACCCGTACACTTATCTCAGATATTAAATTGATCTATCACCCTCGAAGTAGTTCCCCTGGGAGTGAACACAACGATCCCAGCGCCGCTGCCAAGCCTGGAAGCATCCCTGGAAATCTTTCTTTGTCAGCCTGTCAAGCACCATCTGCGATTCTGCCTGAATCTCTTCTATCGTCTCAAATCTCCTTCCCTTTAGCTGAATTTTCATCTTTGGGAAGAGGAAGAAGTCACACGGAGCTTAGAAAGGAAGTTGGGGTCGGTTCTTGCAAGATCTTTGAGCTCCTGACAAACGAGAAGTCGATTCTGCTTCTGGTCCTCAGACAGGATGCGTCGCATGTGGAGTTCTTCCTTTAGAATCAGCTGACAGGTCCCAACAATGTCGCACAAGTCGTTGATGGTACGACGTCGCTCTTCGTGAATGGCCTGCCGAATCTTGGTAACATTTTCGGGCGTTGTGCTCGAAGATGGTCGTCCAGAACGCTCGTCATCATCGACAGAGGTTCGGCCGGCCATTTTTAAAACGTGAATGCCACACAAAAGTTTGCGGACTCCCCAAATGTTTGCTTTAGCATTTCATAGGTTTCCTTAGCCGTTTTGGCGAGTCTTTGGCAAAATTTGATGCCCACGCCATTCCGAAATCGCAGGAGGGTCGGTGTAATGCACTACCAAAACGCCCGTAACTAAGAAACAAATGCTAATTCGATGATGCCGGCTGGCACACTGATTCACTATGAATGTAGGCCGCACCCCCTAGCGGCAGAAGCTCGTACTACATCCGGTTCGCCCTCTATTGACACAGTCTTGAAACTTTCCGATGGCACCTCGTACGTATTTTCCTCACAATAATATGACGTAGTGACCCCTAGTAGGCGTTAAGGCAGAGGTTCCAGCATTGATGTCTTCTGGGATGAAGCATTGTGACGTCTTTGTAGATACTGACCGACGTTTCGGAGGAGTGTTCAACCTCCGGTAAAATCTTTCAAACAGCTAAATTCATACTCGTTCTTATATCTCGCCGGTATGCCGAAGACTGAACGTCACGCAACTTCTAAGATTTTCGAGTCTTCAGCTGACGTAACCTCACAATGTAGAAATAGTCGGACTAATTGCCAGGACGGCGAAGCGTATACGTCATTATTTGCGTGTCTGCTGTTAGGAATTACAGCCGTCCTTTCGTCGTAAAGAAAGGTCACTGGTTCAATGACATATGTGAAACAGAATGACGCCAGAAATAAGTCCTACTTCCCGAGAACGGCTGCCTGATAGTCGCACAGTCTTATCAGTTTCTGTATCATTTAATTAAAATAATGCGATTCAGATCCTCAATGGATGAACGAATCCTCCGCCACTAGAGAGCAGCACTTAAAAGCTTCATCTGTAGATTTTGCAAAGAAGAATCCTTGCAATTCTCCTAAACAGAGCGGAATTTGGCGTCAATTTCAAGACGCATAGCGTCATGACGCTATTGTGCGAAATGTCAAAAGCCTATGTAAATCCTGTGGTGCATTTTCGTTCAATTCCGACTTGTATATTCCCAAGAAAGAGTCTCTGCTACAGGAAGAAACCTGGTGGGACAGATATTTACTACTAACCTTCAAGCTGCAAAACGTTTAGGTTAGGTTAGGTTAGGTTAAGTTGGGTTCGGTTGGGTTAGGTTAGGTTAGGTTAAGTTTGGTTAGGTTAGATAGGGTTGGGTTAGGTTGGGTTAGGTTAGGTTAGGTTAGATTAGGTTAGGTTAGATTAGGTTAGGTTAGATTAGG